AGAGTGATTTCTAAACAAAATATTTTTGAAATGGGTATTATAGCTCATTTGAGAACAGTTTAAGAAAAATTAAGGCAGCTGATATTTGAATATTGGCTGACTACTCTCACAGGAGACTTCATGATTATCCCCATGAACATTCAGGATGTACTGAATCTGCTGTGGTGTATTGGAACCAGTAAATTTGCAATGTTTTATTGAACTACAGCCAGTAGAGGCTGTTGTTTATTCCAGATTCCAGTTTACAGTATGTGAGAAGCTAAGATGTTTTTACAGCACACTAGTTGTGCCATGAACATACCATCTTGGTCCAATAGAATGGAGGCTCCACTGTAAATAGAGCAGGAATTGAAAGCTGTCAGCTTCCTTAAGAATTGGCTCATTTAAATACAGGGAAAGCAAGAATATTCCACAAGGTGTTCATGTTTATTCCCCAGAGGCATTCTACCTGGGATTGATCCACTCCCTTATGCCAGAACTTGCAGGTCCTTACTTGGCCTCTCATCTCAGCATTTACTTGTCTGGACTCATTAAATAGTACTAATTAGGAATCCGTAATCGCTTTCATATTTGGTATTAGGTGCTTGGAATAATGATTGATTAGAACAGATCTTACAAGGGGCTGGCCAGTGACATGGTGGTTAAAGGCGCTGGACTCCCACATCGCTGATCATGATTCAAGTCCTGGACCTGGAGGCTAACTCTCTCTCTCTCTCTGATTAAACTGGAAAATAATAATAATAATAATAATAATAAATACAGTAAAATAAAGTAGTTCTTTAAACAAAAAAAAAAAAACAGATCTTACAATACAGTCCTACCTAAAAACTGTTTAATAGTCTATAAATTCATGTACTTTCTGGATTATGCCTAGTTACAGCATAAGATTTGTGAATATTTGTATTTTGTGTATGATTTTGGCTATGCCTAGAGAAAGCCCAGTGTCTGATGACTTTGTGTACTTTTTCAGAAAAAGTGTCCTGATTTGTTTTTTATAGTTAACCACCTTTTTCTCAGTTATATTAATATGTTCCATGGAGCCATGGGTTCTTACCATGGCTATTAAATTTTTTTTATATAGAAAGGCTTTGAAACTGTCTCAAAGGCTTATGTCTCAAAAGGTCTTAATCCCAACCCTCCTATACTGTATAAATATTCAGGTTTGTTTTTGTTTCCTTTTTACTTATGGAGATTTTAAACTTGGAGCATTTTATGTGTACTGTTTCTGCAAGCCTGTAGGTAATTAACTATTTTTACACTTATATTTTGTTCACAGTGTTTCTTTTGATCGGGTATCAGATATCAACTTTACTCTCAATACAAATGAAAGTGTAAGTATAAACATTTTCCCTTATGAACAGCTTGGCATACATATGAGAGGTAGAAAAATGAGAATTGGGTTCTTTTAAGCACACATGTAGATATCATGTACACTGGGACCCTCTGTCTTTTATAGTCAGGAGAGAAACAGGTGGGTTAGGGCAAACCTCTCACTACCAAGCAGTTCCCAGAAACACCAAGACAGTTTTGTCATTTCAGTGGATACAGTCTTGATTTTACATTGGTCGGTATGAGAGACTACTAGTTTATTTGCTAATGTAATGAAATAGAAACTACCTATTTGAGCCTTTGAAGTCCATCACTACTTGGCTTGAGTGTTAAAAGCGGAGAAGGAACATAGGTTGCTTTACCACAGGAGAGGCTTTTTAGCTTAAAATGATGCTTTGACTAGATGAAAGTAGACTTCTTGTTTGCTTATTTTGAACCTTGTCCTTTTGGGGGGGAATGGGGGGGTTTGTTATAGGGCATGTGCGCTCACCAGAAAGACAGAGAGACAGAAAGCAAGAAATCACCACCCAGAGGGGAAGGCCATGCCGCAGTCCCTTCTCCTCCATTCTCCTCTCGGGATCTTGGGCACGCATGCACGTGAGCCTGATGTGAGTTTAAGCCACTGGGTCCAGGACTCGAATCACGGTCAACTACGTGGGAGTTCAGCGACATAACCATAATGCTAACTGCTGGCCCCATCGAACCTTGTCTTTTTAAGGGGTACTTCTTGTTACTTATGTAGAAGCTGACATTATATGTTTACATTTGTTTTAATGTATGTGATATTGCCCTATTTTAAAGCAAATAGGAAAATGCAATTTGTATAGGTAATTTAGAGGGAGAAAATGAATTCATTTTTAATTTTAATTCTTCTCATTTTAATTTAGGGAAATATTGCCTTGTTTGAAGCATGTTGTAAGGAAAGAATACAGCAATTTGATGATGGTGGCTCTGATGAAGAAGATATCTGGGAGGAAAAACACATTGCATTTACACCAGAGTCCCAGCGACGATCAAGGTGATGGATAATTCGTTATAGCTGTAATTATATCTAGCCCATAAAGCCTGTAATTACTGTACCTTGACCATAGTCATTTAACCCAGTGAGATCAAGGCTTTTTTGAGCAGAAATACTCTCCTTAATTTATATGAGTTGGTGCAGTTGTCTTGTCTACAGTGTGATAAAGTGATCCACTTGAAAATGCCAGGAGGGGGTCCAGCCAGTGACCTGGTTGTTAAGGTGCTAGATCCCAAATCACTGACTGTGCAGTTTGAGTCCTAGACCTGGTGACATGAAAAATACACCAGACACATTTGCATGCATGCATGCCCAAAATCCTGAGGAGAAAGGATTGTAGTGTGGTCATTCTTTTTGTGGGGTGCTTTCTCATTTTCTCTGTTTTTCTAGGGAGTGCACACACCCTGTAGCAAATTTCAAGAAGAGAAAATGCTATGAGTGTTCATGGTTTATGAAATGTTATGGCCCAGCATCTTCTGAATAGGAAACGACATTGAAAACTGTGGTCACGAAGTGCCTTTTACTAAATAAATGTTCCCTCTCTGTAATAACAGCAGCAACTGTGTTCTATATTGTCTCATAAAATATTGGAAGTTTCTTGAAGGAGAGAAAATTGTTTCAAAAAGTTTATCTGGGGAAGACAGGATCATATTAGTTGATAACCATTTGAAGCTATCCTTTTTTTTAAAGAACTATTTTTTATTTAATTGTATTCATTGTCATTATTGTATTTATTTATTTATTTATTTATTTATTTATTTATTTATTTATTTTTGAAGGTGGCCAGAGAGAGAGAGAAGGAAAATGAGAAAGCAAGCTGCCAGGTCCACAGTCAACCATGTGGGAGTCTAACCACCTTAACCACCACACCACTTGCCAGCCCAGATCCATCCATTTTTTAAAATTTTATCACAGGTAGTTAAGGGCACTGGACTCCTACATGGCTGACTGCAGTTCAAGTCCCAGACCTGGCGGCTTGCTTTCTTACTTTCCCTCTCTCTAACTCTGTTCCTCTCTGATCAAATTAAAATAAAGTTAAATAAAATAATTCTTTTTTTTGAGAGAGAGATTTTTGCTATAGGGCACGTGCGCTTGCCAGAAAGACAGAGAGACAGATTCTCCTCCATTCTCCTCTCGGGATCTTGGGCATGCACATGTGCCTGGCATGAGTTTAAGCCACCAGGTCTGGGCCTCGAACCCCAGTCGACTACAACAGAGCCATTACACTAACTGCTGGTCCCCACAGAGAGTTTGGTTTTTGTGTGTGTGAGTGTGGGTTTTTTTGTTCTTGAGAAAGAGAGTGAGATTTTTGCTATAGGGTATGTGTCCTCACCAGAAACACAGAGAGATAGAAAGCAAGAATTCACCTCCCCAGAGTGGATGGCTATGCTACAGTCCCTTCTCCTCCTTTCTCCTCTTGGGATTTCGGGCACATATGCACATGTGTCTGGCATGAGTTTCAAGCCACTGGGTTCAGGATTCAAACCATGGTCAACTACATGGGAGTCCAGCCATATAACCATTATGCCATCTGTTGGTCCCAACACAGAGAGTTCTTTATATGAGTATTCATTAGTAGAATCTTCTTAGTTAAGAAGAAGGGTTTTTGTTTTTGTTTTTCTTTAAGGTTTTTGCCATAGGACGTGTGCACTCACTAGAAAGAGACAGTGCAAGGGATATTGAGAGGTGATGGCCACACTGTAGTCTCTGCTCATCCATTCTCCTCTTGGGATTTTGGGCATGCACACACATGCTTCCGACATGATTTTCAAGCCACCAGGTCTGGGACTTGAACTGCACTTGGCAATGTGGGAGTCCAGCGCCTTGTCCACTACTCCACCTGCTGGCTATGATGAGACAGGGATATTTGAATAGCAGATGAACTTTCATTTTTATTTTATTTATTTCCAATAAGTAATGTTTTCACGTGGCATAAAATTCAATGGGAACAAAAGTATAAAAGTAGAACTTCCTGCTGCATCTCTAGCCATCTAATCTCTTGCTAGATAGAATTTGTCAGCATCACCTGCTCTTATATGTGCCAATAGTTGTGCTGAATCCCTTAGGAACACTGTTACTGTAGATTACAAAGACTCAGCAGTGTCCTTAGCAAGGCTCACAATCTAGATTGACGAGGGAATTTAACAAGGTGTTAGACCTGGCTTCATTCATTTATTCTCACTCTGCCATCTTCTGCATGTCAATTTATTATTGTATGATTGCAAGATCGCTTCTTAGCTTTTACAGCTTTAGAGCTAGATAGCAACAGACACATACCTTCATGGTGATTGTTTGTTTATTTTAATTTGACCAGAGGACAGAGTAAGGTGGGGAATGGGGGATGAGAAAACAAACTGTCAGGTCCGGGAATCAAACCACAGTCAACCATGTGGGAATCCAGCGCCTTTAACCACTACGCCACCTGCCGGCCCCTATTTGTTTATTTAAAGATAAAGCCCCAGTCAAACATCTGCCACCATTCCTGTGAGGTTTTGGTCCTCATGTTGAGTGGATTTACTAAATGGCTATTACCTACTGTCAGTTATCTCCAGAGGCACACAATGCTCTCATGTTATTACAGTGATGCAGTCATCCCCACAGTGCTTCAGGTCGAGAGAGCACAGAGAGCAGTATAGCAGGAAAAATATTGTCCTAGAGAGATGGCAGTTGATACCTAGAGGGAACACAGGATGAGGAGAGAAGGCAGTTTTTTTTATTGTTTAGCAAATCTACTGAGATGTCATTGACATGTAATCAACTACACTTAAATTACACAGTGTAGTAAGTTTTAACATGTGTATACATCCATGAAACCATCATCCTAAACAAGATCCATGATTTTCCCATCACGCTCCATAATTTTCTCATGCCATTTTATAATACCTTCTACCTTTTTATCTCCACCATCAGTTTTCTGTTTGTTTAAATTAGTTCTGGGGCCCACCAGGTGGTGTAGTGGCTAAGGTGCCAGACTCCCACGTGGCCAACCACGGTTCGTCCTGGACCAGCAGCTTGCTTTCTCACTTTCTCTCTCTCTCTCTCTCTGGTGAGCACATGTACCCTATAGCAAATTAAAAATAAATAAAATAATTCTTTTTAAAAAAGAAGATAGGGAATAATAAATCAGTGGCCAGAATAGAAAACCCATAAAGAAGCCTACACATATAGACAACTATAACCAGTCCTTACTTAATGACCTCTTTGTTTAACGACCACTGAGACTTATGGCCAGTTCTTCAGAGAATCCCCTTTCTCATTCTTCATGAGTCTTAGGAATGCCCTTTATTAGTTTTTGTCTTATTCCTGAAGTCTGTTATATTCACTACATGAAGCATTTGCATTCACCCAAGACTACTTTTTGGGTTTTTTTTTTTTTTTTAAAGATTTTTGCCATATAACATGTGTACTCATTGGAGAGACAGTGAGAGGGAAAGTGAGAAGTCACTCCCCCAGGGGAGATGACCACCCTGCAATCCCTTCTCCATTTTCCTCCTGGGATTTTGGACATACAAACACACATGTGCCCCAGGATGATTTTTAAGCCACCCAATCCAGGACTCAGAACATGGTCAGCCACGTGGGAATCCAGCCTAAGACTACTTATTTCATTTACAAATTTGTACTTTTTAGTAGACCCACAGTAGTATCCAGCGTAAATACATAAAAACAATCATTCCAGATTTATATTACTGTTGTGTTATGTCTTGTGACTTTCTGATACTTAGCTAGTATGTGCTTTTTTGTATGGATAGAACTACATTATTCTAGCATGGAGTCATGTGATATCTATTGAAAAATACATACTGAATAGTGCCTTGACACACCATGAGACACCTGCGTTTAAGCTCCTCCCTTAACAACCTAGTTGTAGGAATAGAACTTGGTCATTAAGTAAGAAATACCTGTAATATTTTGATACAAGTGCAAAGCATTTAACAGAAAGGACTGGTTTTTCAAAAATGATGATAGTAGTAGTTGTCATCCATAATTTTAAAAACGAACTTTGAGCCATACCTCTTACCATATATTGACATTAACTGAAATGGTTCTTAGACTTAAATGTAAAGCATGAAACTAGGTGTTGGCAGGTGGCATAGTGGTTAGGGTTGCTGGCCTACCTTGGCCTACTGTGGTTCAAAATCTCAGACCTGGCGGCTTGCTTTGTCACTTTCCCTTTCTCTCTCTTACTCTGTCCCTCTCTGGTTAAGTTAAAATGAATAAATAAATAAGTAAATGAAGTTAAAAGAATTCTTTAAAAAAAAAAAAAAAACACGAAACTATAAAACTTCTACAAGAAAACAGTAAAAGTCTTTTGGTGATAACATCACCAAAAAGTGTAATACATAAAAGAAAAAATTTAGTAAGTTAAACTTCATCAAAATTTAAAACTTCTGGGACTAGCAGATGGCATAACGATTATGTCACTGGACTCCCATGTAGTCGACCATGGTTCAAGTCCTGGAGCTTGATGGCTTAAAACTCATGCTGGTCATGTGTGTATGCATGCCCAAAATCCTGAGAGGAGAATGGAGGAGAAGGAATTGTGACATGGCCATCCCCCTTATGGAGTGATTTCTTGCTTTCTGTTTCTCTGTCTCTCTCTTTGTCTCCAGTGAGTGCACACACCCTAAATCTCACTTTAAAAATAATTTTTTAAACTATCTTTTATTATTTTTTTTTTTGAGAGAGAAATTTTTCCTATAGGGCATGTGTGCTCACTGGAGAGACAGGTGGAAAGTGAGAAATTACTACCCAGGGGGGATGCCCATGCCATAATCCCTTCTCCTCCATTCTCCTCTTGGGATTTTGGGCACCCATGCACACATGCACAGCATGAGTTTCAAGCTGCCGGGTCTGGGACTTGAACCATGCTTGACCATGTGGAAGTCCAGCATCATAAGCACTACACCACCTGCTGATCCTAAGATTTCTACCCTTTAAAAAACACTGCGGGGAACCAGCAGTTAGCGTAATGGCTATGTTGCTGGACTCCCACGTAGTCAACCGTGGTTCGCGTCCCGGACCCGGTGGCTTAAAACTCATGCCGGGCGCGTGTGCGTGCGTGCCCAAGATCCCGAGAGGAGAATGGAGGAGAAGGGATTGCGGTGTGACCATCCCCCCTGGGGGGGTGATTTCTCGCTTTCTGTCTCTATGTCTCTGTCTGTCTGGCAAGTGCACGTGCCCTATAGTGAAAAAAACCTCTCAAAAAAAAAAAAAAACACTGCAATGAAATTGAAAGCATAAACCATGTACTGGGAAGACATTTGTAAATCATATATCTGATAAAAGACTTGTAGAGTTAAGAGATTTCTTTATTCAGTTTTTTTAAAAAGACACTTCAAAAGACAAACTGGCAAATAAAAAAATGTCCAACATCCTTGGTTATTAGGAAAATTCAAGTTAGCACCACAGTGAGATACCACTACACACCTGTTAGAAGGCAGTATACTAGACAAGTGCTACCACGGTTGATGGCTTAGGACAAGGTTAGGCAGTACCCACACAAAGCAAAGCCTTCCCCAGTACCTTAACCAAATGACATTCAGATAGTATCCAGTTGATCTGCATTCTCTGCAGTTCTGTTTTTTTTCCCCTTTGTGCAGCAGATTCAGTGGGAATTGAGGAATATTCTGACCCTAATAATATTCAGATGTTTGGCTACTGTTCCCTTAGACCTGTCTAGATACTCAGTGCATAGAGGCTGAACAGCAAAGTGATGAAGGTAAAGGAAAAAGGGGGTGGGGGGATCAATTAAAAATTTTTTTAAAGGACCAGCAGTTGGCATAATGACTATGTCACTGGACTCGCACGTAGTCGATCATGGTTTGAGTCCCAGAGCCAATTGCTTAAACTCACACCTGAACGCATGTGTGTGTGTGCTCAAGATCCTGAAAGGAGAATGGAGGAGAAGGGATTGTGGCATGGCCATCCCCCCCAGGGGATGATTTCTTACTTTCTTTCTTTCTGTCTTTCTGTCTGTCTGTCTCTCTCTCTCTCTCTCTCTGTCTGTCTCTCTGGTGAGTGTATATGCCTTATAGCAAAAACCTCTCAAAAATTAAAAAAAAATTTAAAAAGAAAGGAAAAAAATTGTTTTTAAAAAAAGCAAAAAATGGGGACCAGCAGGTGGTGTAATTGTTATGTTGCTGGACTCCCATGTAGCTGACCACGGTTCAAGCCCTGGACCCAGTGGCTTAAACTCACGCCAGGCACGTGTGTGTGCGTGCCCAAGATCCCGAGAAGAGAATGGAGGAGAAGGGATTGTGGCGTGGCCATCCCCCCTGGGGGGTGATTTCTCATTTTCTGTCTCTCTGTCTCTCTCTGTCTGGCAAGCGCATGTGCCCTATAGCAAAAACCTCTCCCAAAAGAAAATAAAAAGAAAAAAATGAAAACTGCACAGTTGCTGGCAATAGTTCACAACTCAAATGCAGCAGTCTTTCTGAAGACTGCCTTTTTGCCTCTCCTAAATAGGAGGGGGGTAAGGTGAGAATTAGCAAGATAAAGGAAGATCTGAGAACCAAGAAAATACTTTACCTTAAAAAAAGGAAAAAAAAATTTAAATGAAAAGACAGAGAGAAGGATACAGAGGGATACTCTACCACTCTAGAATGGGGTCTGAAGGGTGAAGTCTCAGTAGAACATCTTCATTAATCTTAATCCCTGAAAGCAATAGTTCACAGCTCAAATACAGCAGTCTTCACTGAAGGCCTGCACTTTTGCCTCTCCATTCTAGAATAGGGTCTGGAGGGTGAAGTCTCTGCAAAAAATCTTCCTTAGTCTTAGTCCCTGAAAACAATTGTTCACAGCTCAAGTGCCGGATCCAGTTGAAATGCAGTATGATTTTTTGTTGTTGAATGACTCTTGGAATTTTCTGGATATAGTCGAATCTCTAGCAACATTAAATATTCTGGTTTTGAATCTCTTTTTCTTAGCTCGGGTAGTACAGACAGTGAGGAAAGTACAGACTCTGAAGAAGAAGATGGGGCAAAGCAAGACTTGTTTGAATCCAATAGTGCCAATACGGAGGATAAAATGGAGGTAGACCTGAATGAACGTGAGTTGCCTTATTCTGCTGTACTTGTGGCTATGGATTGGAATTAGGTGTTTTGAAAAATGAGTAAACAACCAGTCTGCAGCATTTGGGATGACTTCAAAAGGAAGAGTTAAATTGAACACACATCGTTGTGGGAATCCCTCTGGAAGTTAAAGTTTCAAAGACTGGGCTTCAGGGAAGTAGCAAGTTAGGTTCTTGATGATAGAGCATTCCTTTATGGTATGAAAATCTGTGCGAGTTTGGCTAGAGGACATAGCACTGGTAGATCAGTCCCTTGGCTAGGGACTGCTATAGCAGAAGGAGAAAGACCACACGTTGTGAAAAGATGAGGAGATAATTGTGTTTTGTAGAATTCAGAATGGCATAAACCAGAGGAAACAACAGTTAAATAGTTTTAAAGGGTTCTTCATAGTTTATGAAACTTAATAGTCCTAAAACAAAACAAACAAACAAAAAAAGACTTGTATTAACTGTCCTCTTAATTTTATTGTTAACTTTAAAAGTTCACAAAAATATTCACATGAAAGAGCTATGTGAGTTGACATTAGGGCCTGACCAGCTTTCTGCTCCCTGGAAGCCTTTATATGCTCAGTTGTTGAATCTGAACAATCCAGCTCAGGATGGAGTTTGTAACCTCAGAGCAGTCATCCAGCACCAGCAAACCCCACAGTTACAAATTAGAAAGTTAGTAGCCAGAGCAGAAGAGATTTTCCCTTCTCCCCTGCCTTCTTTTCTGACTCACTCTCTTTAGGAGAAGGAAGTGAACTGTTCTCTATAATTCAGGTCAAACCAACATGACACTGTCAAGTTCCTAGTGAGTGCCAGGTGCTAGGCATATAATCAGGGTCAGATCACAGACTCTGCTTCCAGGGACTGAGGGTCTCATGGAGAAATAGAGAGACTGGCAGTTAGGGATAATGAGGATAAAGGGCTTTAGGAGTGGAGTTGGTTGAGGAGCCCAGCTCCTACCAGCCATCTGCACAGACATCTCTGAGGGTATAATACTTAGGAATAGATAGGGATAGTCAGTTTGAAAGAAAAAACTAATAGTAAAGCTGAGACCCACAAGCTGTTTAAATTGTCTCAAAAACAGGATGAGATGGTGGGAGATACAGTCAAAGGCTAGTTAAAAATTATATTCTTGGGCCGGCTCTGTGGCACAGTGGTAATGCACTGCTCATGAGAAGCCACATCCTACATGGTGATCATAGTTTGAATCCCCAACCTTGTCAGCCTGAAAACACTCCCAACAGACATGAGTGCCCAAGGTCCAACTGGTTGGGCAACTGGAGGAAGGGATCATGGTGTGACCTGACCCAATAGAAAGTGTTCTTCTCTCACTCTCACATACAGGTGAGAGTGCAAGCATTCTTATCATGAATAGAGAAAAAAAAAAAAAAAGGAAAAAAAATTAATTGTATTCTGTCTGGCTCCAGCCCCTGGGGCCTAGCTAGTAGCCTACTGGATTACAGAGCTGGGAGCCAGGTACTGGCTGTGATTCAAGTCCCTGGCCTGATTGACCTGAAAACACATGCCCAGAATATTGGCAGGCTAACAGTCAAGGACGTCTCTTCCTTTCTCTATCTCTCTATAATGGATTAGAGAAAGATCTCTCTCTCTCTCTCTTTCTCTCTTGCACACATTCTATCATTTAAAAAACAAACAAAAAGCACAATAATCCAAAGGTGATAGGAGAGTCTCCTGAGGATTTGACTAACAGTAACGTTGGAACTGTTTAAAGACTATCACTCAAAACATAGTGCAAAAACTGAGCTAGAAAACACAGGCTGAAGACAAAGAAACTGCCTTGACACTAATTGTTCTAGAGAGGAAATGAAGAGAGTTCCAAGGATGGGATCCAAGCAGATGGGAGGAGGAGACAGGATAGATGTCCTGGGCTTTGGGCTCTAGAATCTGTGGAGTTTGTGTTTTTTGTTTTGTTTTGCATTCAGTGTATTCATGTTACTGTGCAACAGATCCCTAGAATTTTGTCATGTTTAAATTGTATCCATTGGGTTTCTCCCTGTTTTCTCCCTTCCAGAGCCCCTAGCAGCCATCATTCTACTGAATTTGATTACTATGCATACTTTATATAAGTGGAACTACTTTAGTTTTTTATTTTTTCTTTTTTTCTTTTCCCAGTAGAGGTTTTTGCCTTAGGGCACATGACAGAGAAAATGAGAGAGAAAGTGGGAAATCATCCTCCAAGGTTGAGCCACACTGAAATCCCTTCTTCTCCGTTCTCCCAGGATCTTGAGCACGCATGCACACGTGCTCACATGATTTTCTAACCACCAGATCTGGAACTCGAACCACAGTCAGCCATGTGGGAGTCCAGTGACATAACTGCTACGCTGCCCTCCTACTCTAGGTGTTTTATATAAAGGAATCACATAGTGTTAGTCTTTTACATCTGGCTTATTTCACTTAGCATAATGTCCGTAAGGTTTATTCATATTGTAAGATATGTAGGATTTTGCTGTTTTTAAGGCTGAATGTTATTCTAGAGTCCGTGGTCCTTAGATGGGGCTGAATGTGCAATAAGTGGCTAGGAAGGAAACTGCAAACTTGATATGACTTAATGTGTGCCACTGCAGCTGTGACTAGAACTGGCTGTGGAGAAAGGGGAGCTCCCTAGATGAGTCACATTCAACCTGGTTTAGCCCAGGGCTAAGGCACCAGCCCTCCTTCTGTGTTCCTTGGGAAAAGCTTTTGTATCATCAGGTCTCTGGAAGCACAAGGGGAAGATTGGCAGAGTATTCTCCCCTCCTAGAGCTCCAAGGCCTCTGCCATCCTCTTCAGTCCTGTGGCTTATTTTGGAGGTTTTATGGACTGTTTAAAACAGTTTCTAATGTCCTGATTCTGGAATGATAATCTGGGAAAGAAGTAATAAACCAGAGTAGGAAGAATAGAAAAGTGGTTTTTGTGTAGCTTAATTTAGTTGTAAAGTGGAATTCTCATTCAGATGGAGTGCTTCCAGAGCTTTGCATATAATAGGTGAGATTTTCGAACATTCAAGTGTTACCCTTTCTCCTTAACAGCAGAGCCTAGCCATACTCACACAGATTGAAGGGTAAGAAGCATGAAGTGAACCTAGTCCACAGAGGCCCTTATGTAATCCTTGCTAAGTACATCTCTTTATCCAAATTAAACAAGTAAGAAATGAACGTTCTGTGAGATGGTTAAATAACTTGCTCAAAGTCACAGTAAGGTCTTTCAAATTGGAACATTTCTATTCTACACAAGCACTTAGTCATTTTGTGCCTAGGATGAGCCCCTAGATAACCACGGTTCCTTACATCCCTTCCTTAAGCCTAGAGGTTCCTAACTGTGATAGAAAAGATCCCTCATGTAGAGAGCAGTTATTCCTCCACTTTCCTTATCTCCAGAAAGGATTTGAAGATTCAGCATACTGTGAAGGAAAGGTGTGGTATGTACAGTTAGAGTAAATAAACAGTCCTGATTTCATCTGAAGGGACACATCTCTGAGGAGATAACATTTAAACAGACACCTGCAGGTTGGATTCAGATTTGGCCACAGGCAGCATAGTGAAAGGCACCACAGACAGTAAGGAGTATGCCAGGCCAGTGCTGCCAGTTGACCTCAGAGGTCAGCTGGTGTCTGTAGCACCTGGGAAGCCTTTCTGTCTGTCATTTGTGTTAACTGCAGTGGACTGCAAGGAGGCCATGGACAGTATGTAGTGCAGCCAGATCTGGACTGGAAAGCACTAAGGTCGTTTCCAATTTATTTCACTTGAATAACCAACATATTTTTTGAAAAGTAATTTTTTTTATTTTGGAATAAGTTAGATTTACAAAAAAGTTACGAAGATAGTACATTAAGTTCCCGTTTACCTTTTACCTGTCTTCCCCCAGTATTAATACAACCATGGCACATTTGACAAAACTAAGAAATCAACATTAACATACCCTTTATAGGTAGCTTTAAATATCTGTATAATAATATTTTTGTTGGAAAAAATTCCTAAAAATGGAACTGCCAGGGGCCAGCAGATGGCATGTTGGTTAAGATGACTGGATTCTCACATGGCCAACCGTGATTCAAGCCCTGGATCGGGCAGCTTGAAAATCATGCCAGGTGCATATGTGCCCAAAATCCTGAGAAGAGAATGAAAGAAAAGGGATTGTGGGATGGCCATACCCCTCAGGGGATGATTTCTCACTTTCCCTCTCTTCTGTTTTCATGTTTCTCCTGTCTGGCGAGCACATGTGCCCTACTATGGCAAAAACCTAAAGAGAAGAAAGAAATGGAATTGCTAGACTAAACCATACAGTTTTAGGTGATAAAGGTTGTTAAACTGCTCTCCAGGTGATGCTGCCCTTCCAACTCCTACGACTAGTGCGTTAGACTACCCTTCCCTACAAGTCCATCTTTCGTTATCATTGCTAGTCTGTTGTGAAAAATATCTTATGTTACATTAAACTACTGAAATATTCTCCAAATGAAATTCCTCCCCTCTTTTTAGCACCCAACTGGTCAGCCAACTTTGATGTCCCAATGGAGACCACCCACGGTGCTCCATTAGACTCTGTGGGGTCTGATGTCTGGAGCACAGAGGAGCCGATGCCAACTAAAGAGACGGGCTGGGCTTCTTTTTCAGAGTTCACATCTTCCCTGAGGTGAGCGAGTGTGTGCTAGCTCTAAGCCTTTCCATAGGAGAACTGGGAATAGTATTTGCTACTGCCACGTAGTCTTCTCCTTAACTTACATCCATTGAATGTAGTGATTTAAACAGGGTTCAAAGTCACATGGGGACATACTGACAGAGCTCTGCATTATAAGACAGTCACCATCTCCTTTCCTCTGGGGTGAATTGGGAGAAGGGAGCAGTTTTTAACAAAGTAGCTGGGCAGATGTGGTCCCTGAGAGTTAGCAGGGTACAGCAGATACCATCTCCGAGGACTTTCCTGGCTCAACACAGTGGTCAGGATAAGATTGAGAACAGGAATGAGGTGAAGCCAAGAACTTTTGACAGGATGTCTATGTGGGGTGTTCAGAAAAGTGCAAACAAAATGTATCTTGAATTCAGTATATGACATGAACTTACATTTCACTTACAACTAGTATAGTGCTATAAACTAAGGGCTATGACAGGTATGGCTGTCATTCTTACTGTTTGTATTCTCAGTGACAAAAATTGCATAATTTTCCTGAATAATAATTGTTAGCATTTGAATATTAACCATGGATTTGATGTCTCCTTAGGCTTAGTTCTATTTGCTAAATGTTTTGTTTACTGAAAACTGAAAAAAAAAAAAAAATCACTGTCCACCACCCCATTTGAAAGGCATTATTGCTTTCCCTATTCCAATAAGAAATGTTTTTTGAAACAATCACTTACAAGCTAAAGATAGGAAGACAAACTTTGTGAGCTGACAGTTACTGTCTTAGAAAAACCAGAGAGTTAACTGATCCCCATGTTTTACAGTAACTGTAATGAGAGCAGTAAGCTATTTAGAGGTACAGTGGGATAGGTAGAAAATGTCTCCAAAATATTATTTCATCAGCCCGACTCCAGTCCAGGACAGTCAAATTTCTACCCCTTCCTTTTTTTCTGTCTTATGATAACTGGAGGATAAGGCCCGTGATCATTTGAGGATGTTGTTGAAGCAGCTTGCTTCTCTCTCCTCACTGTGTACAGGTCTTTGGGATGTTGAGGAGTGTGGAACCTGGGAGTGGGGGATGGAAGAAGAAACAGCTATCTCCCCCACTGCTTGGTTGTTTAATGTTTCTTACTATGTTTTCATAACACCAACAATAGGCATCAGTAAGAGGGCAAGTCCCTCCAGGCAGTTTGGCTCATGGTAAGTAAGGTTTTTTGTAAAAATGGTCAACCTTGTAGATATAGTTGACACTGTATGATGTCTGTTGCTGCTGTCAGAGCTCTGGGTGCTGATGGTTGGGGTGAGAGGTGGAGGCAACTGGACTAGACTCAAAACTCCTCTGCCCCTACAGAAACAACTAATTCCCAAAGATTGTGAAATAATAGGGTAACTGAGGGCTGTACCTCACTGCTAACATCTAATTTTTTCTTTTAAAAGCACAAAAGATTCTTTAAGGAGTAATTCTCCAGTGGAAATGGAAACCAGCACTGAACCCTTGGACCCTCTGACTCCCAGTGTTGCCACGCTGGCAGCGCAGCCAGAAGGTGAGAGCAGAAAGCACTTGGCTGCACAGCTCACAGGTCCCTGTAGCAGGTTATAAACCAGATTTGATACTCAGGCTCAGGGGCTGAAAGGAGCCAGGAAAATGTGGTGGGTCTGATGTCCACAGAGCAACTGATGAAAGGAAATGGTACATGTCACTGCAAAACCACAGCATGTTGATTTTAAGAGTGAAGGATCTAAGTTCTCAGTTCCATCAATGTGCAGATAAGGAAACTCAGGCCCAGAAAGGAGCAGTGTCTTAGCCCACAGCACCCAAGGGGGGAAGTACCAGAACTGGACTTGTGCGTTCACACTCACACTTGTCCTGGATATGGGTATATCAGACAGTCACTGGTATCTATATATCAAGTTCCATTAGGTTGTCTTATTACTCAGTGTTCATATATACTCCTTGCGTTGGCCCTGAACTATTTTCTTACTGATAAATAGAGCTTCTGGAAGGTGGAGAGTATTAGTAAAGAGTGTTAGGGATGGGGATTTGAGGGAACTCAGAGGAAAGAATCTTAAAGAAAAGGTAGCTAGAATGGGCGACTGTCTTTGTCCTGTGCTGTGGATTGGGACAAGTAGGAGCAGTTGTGTCTGCTGGGAGCAAGCTGGGAACATAAGTAGACAATGAGTTGGGAAGGCTGTTGGGCACTCTCTGGTCTTCTAATGAAAACAACCCAAGAAATGTCTCTCTCTATGGTTTTGTTTGTTTGTTTTTTCCTATGGGGCATTTTTAAGAAGTCTGTGCCTCGCTGGGCGTGTGTGCGTGCGTGCCCAAGATCCCAAGAGGAGAATGGAGAAGGGATTGCGGCGTGGCCATCCCCCTGGGGGTGATTTCTCACTTTCTGTCTCTCTATCTGTCTTTCTGGCGAGCGCATGCACCCTATAGCAAAAACCCTCAAAAAAAAGAGTGTTAGGGATGGGGATTTGAGGGAACTCAGAGGAAAGAATCTTAAAGAAAAGGTAGCTAGAATGGGCGACTGTCTTTGTCCTGTGCTGTGGATTGGGACAAGTAGGAGCAGTTGTGTCTGCTGGGAGCAAGCTGGGAACATAAGTAGACAATGAGTTGGGAAGGCTGTTGGGCACTCTCTGGTCTTCTAATGAAACCAAGCCAAGAAATGTCTCTCTCTATGGTTTTGTTTGTTTGTTTTTTCCTGCATTTTTAAGAAGTCTGTGCCTCGCTGGGCGTGTGTGCGTGCGTGCCCAAGATCCCAAGAGGAGAATGGAGAAGGGATTGCGGCGTGGCCATCCCCCTGGGGGTGATTTCTCACTTTCTGTCTCTCTATCTGTCTTTCTGGCGAGCGCATGCACCCTATAGCAAAAACCCTCAAAAAAAAAAAAAAAAAAAAAAAGTCTTCTGTGCCTCTTCAGAATCTGGCCCAGGTTATAACAGGCAAACCTTTTTACTTTATCTTCTTTATGTAGTCAGTATAAGATTGGGTGGAAGGTTCTGCAGAAGAGGAGCCATAGTTCCTATTTGAGTTTGGTTTGTGTTACCATCAGCTGTGTTGTCTTTTCAGCACCAGGCAGTGTGGCCATGGAAGCCAGCTCTGATGGAGAGGAGGATGCAGAAAGTACAGACAAGGTAACTGAGACAGTGATGAATGGCGGCATGAAGGAAACGCTCAGCCTCACTGTAGATGCCAAGACAGAGACTGCAGTCTTCAAAAGGTAACCAGGGGCTAGTTCCACTAGCAACTCCAGGTTGTTGGGAGGATGATGGGAGAGAGATCTCAAATACTAACATTTTAAATTTGATATAGATGAGTGTTCAGACATTAGCTTGATGTCTTTCTAACATCTCTATTAAGCTCAGTAAATCTTCATCAATAAGAAGATGGAGAGTTTAGGCCTCTCTGGATTTTTCCCTGTGTATGTGTTTCAGAAGATTATATTTTAAGTCTAACAGACTGACAGTATGAGAATTGACAGATCATTGGTCATAGTAGAAACTGACCTATACAAGAGCTACAGAGCATAGTCCATCAAAACCAGAGTCAGTGTTGTGTAGATCATTGCCAATAGACATAATGCAATCATTAGATTTCAGTAGCAAAATGGTAACTCTGAAGCAAAACAAATGTATACACTATTTATGGAAATTAGCAGCCTCACTTCCAAACTCTTAGGTAAAAAAAAAGAATCTTAAAGGGTAATTAAAAAAAAAAAAAACTTCTGTCAAAATGTATGGACTGTTGGGAATCAGCAGTTAGCGTAATGGCTATGTCGCTGGACTCCCACGTAGTCGACCACGGTTCGCGTCCCTGACCCAGTGGCTTAAAACTCACGCTGGGCGCGTGTGCGTGCGTGCCCAAGATCCTGAGAGGAGAATGGAGGAGAAGGGACTGCGGCGTGACCATCCCCCCTGGGGGGTGATTTCTCGCTTTCTGTATCTATGTCTCTCTGTCTGTCTGGTGAGCGCACACACCCTATAGCGAAAACCTCTCAAAAAAAATAAAATGTATGGATTGTTGGGGCTGGCAGGTGGCATAGTGCTTAGGGGCACTGGACTCCCACATATCTGAATACAGTTCGAGTCCCAGACCTGGTGGCTTGCTTTCTTGCTTTCGCTCTTTCTCCCCCCTCTTTCTCTGTATCACTCTGGTCAAATTGAAAATAACTATCATAATAAATAAAATAAAGGAAATGATTAAAAAAAAAAGTATGGACTGTGGACCAGCAGGTACCATCATGGTTAAGGTGCTGCTGGACTCCCACCTGTCTATTCTGCAGTTTGGGTCCTTGACCCGACAGCTTGAAAATCTCCACATTCCTCTGTGTGTGTGTGTGTGTGTGTGTCCAAAATCCTGAGAGAAGGGATTGCTGAGTGGCCATCCCCCTGGGGGGGGGGTGATTTTTCACTTTCCCTCTCTCTGTATCTCTCCTTTCCAGTGAGCACACATGCTCTGTGACAAAAACCTTAAAAAAACAAACAAACAAAAAAGTATGGACCCCAGCTAAGCCAGTGCTGAGTTTTAGTCCCCATCTCATACAGATCCTTTCAGAGATCACAAAAAGGAATGCTTCCCAGTTCATTATGAGGTCACTAGACAACAAAATAAAACAGAGAATTGATGGAGGCTAATTTTATACATAGGCATGTACAAAATGTACATGTATATAGGTATGTATTTGCAGTAGTCTATTCTTATCCATAGAAGATACATATTCCCAGATAGTCAGTGGGTATCTGAAACCATAGATAGTGCTAGGCCATTTATACACTGTATCTTTTGAGGTTTGATTTTGTTTTTTTTCAAGCTGCCATATTTGGGAACTTGGCCATGTAGGACCCACCACCTTAACCACCATACCACCCAGCTGGCCCTTTTTTGTTTAACTTTTACCAAGTTAAACTGTTACTGGTTTGCTTAGGAGTTTGAGTCACATATAGGTATGAAAGTTTCATTAAAATAAAAAAAATTCAATCCTCAGGAATGGCAAGTGGCATGGTGGTTAAGGTGCTGGACTCCCACATGGCTGACCTCAGTTTGAGTCCTGGGCTTGGCAGCTTGCTTTCTCACTTTCCCTCCATCTCTCTCAAGTCAAAGTTAATAACAATAATAATATTATTATTATTAAATCATTTATTTTTTTAAAAGCCGATCCCTTTTCCTCCATTTCTCTATCCCACCAGTTTTGAGCACACACACATATGACATGGTCATGTTTTTCAAGCTACCTGGACTGGGATTCAAACCATAGCTGGACATATAAAATCCAGCTCCCTCTATACTGCTCTTAACCATTGCACTACAGTGAACAGAATTTAGATGCCTTCACTTTAAGGAACAGGGCCGGCCTTGTGGCCTGGCGGTTAAGGCAGCTGGCCTTGTGGCCTGTTATGGGAGCCAGATTTCACATAGCTAACTGAGTAGTTCCAATCCCAGCTCTGGTAGCTTAGAAAAAAAGAAAACGCCAGGAGTGCGTGTGGGTGTATCCATGGCCAGAGACCTGACAGGATAGAGAAATGAAAAGATCGGGAACCAGCAGTTAGCGTAATGGCTATGTCGCTGGACTCCCACGTAGTTGACCGCGGTTCGTGTCCCAGACCCGGTGGCTTAAAACTCACGCCGGGCGCGTGTGCGTGCGTGCCCACGATCCCAAGAGGAGAATGGAGGAGCAGGGATTGCGGCGTGTCCATCCCCCCTGGGGGGTGATTTCTCGCTTTCTGTCTCTATGTCTCTCTCTGTCTGTCTGGCGAGCGCACACGCCCTAAAGTGAAAATCTCTCCAAAAAAAAAAAAAAAAAGATTGTGGCATGACCACACAAGAAGGGTGCTTTCTCTCTATCTCTCTGGCAAGCTTATACACCCTCTGGACAAAAATTAAAAAGATAAGGAACAAAGGCCCAGCAGATGGCATAGTGGTTAAGGGCACTGGATTCCCACATGGCCAACCATGATTTGAGTCCTGGACCTAGCCACTTGCTTTCTCACTTTCTCTTTCTGTCCCTCTCTGGTCAGATTAAAATATAAAAATAAATAAAGTCAAATAAAGTAATTATTTTTAAAAAAAAATCTTAAAAAAAGATCAAGAACAAATAAGGATATTCATGACCACTGTATAGGAAGAAAGTGTTAAAACTTATTTTTTTGCAGATAGTAGTGATCAACTACAAAACTTTTATAAGTAATAAATTCAGCAAAGCTGTTGAGTAAGAGGTCAGTTTTAAAAAGCAATAGCCTTTCTCTAGGTCAGTAATAAGCAACAGAATGTATAATAAAGAGCAAAATACTATTCACAAAATGCATCAAACTATAAATTATTTAGGAATCATCTTAACATATCTCTACAGAGCAAACTTGAAGGTGATCTGTACAAGTAGTGGCAGTCCACACACTGTGATGGGATAGCTTAATGACATAAACAGTGACTGCTATAATCAAATTAGTTCTTAAGTTTAGTGTAGTCCCATTCTAAAGTTCATTGAGGTATTTAGAAGGACCTTGATAAACATACGCTAAAATCTGTATGGAAAAACAGCACGGTCCCAAATTGCTAATGATAACCAAAAGGAAAGATTAAGAGACTTGCTGTGCAAGATATCCAGTCATGCTGCACAGTTGGAGTAATTAAAATGGAGTCACATTGCATCCATATTGGTAAAGGGGTTAACATAATTGAATAGAAAGATTAATAATGGGAATGGTTTAGTAGTGGTGGTACTTGGTGAGGCTGGTCACTACAAGGGGGAAAAGTCCAGTCCAGTCCTCCTTGGTCTGTTGGAACATTGGAAAAGTCATGATGTATTTTTCTATGCAAAAATGCGTTACAAGATTTCCAACGATCCAATACGTCATAAAGCAACTGCAGATGGATTAGAAAGATAACAGGAACAAACATATACAGTGCTTTCTGTGTGCCGGGTCCTGTTCTCAACATGTTTTACATGAGCCAGCAGGTGACATAGTGGTTAAGGTGCTGGATATACCCACATGGCCAACTGTGGTTTGAGTCCCAGACCTGGGGCTTAAAAATCACTCTGGGTACTTGTGTGTGACCATTCCCCTCAGAGGGTGATTTCTCACTTTCCCTCTCTCTTTTTGTCTCTCCAGAGAGAACACATGTCTTACGGCAAAAACCTTAAAAAATTTTTTTCCACATATTCATGTTTTATATATACTAATATATAATATATTTCCACATATTCTTATTCATAATTATTTCTTTTAGAAACCCTAGGAAATAGCACTTTGACTATTATTCCCACTTTTCAAATGAAGAAATTGAAACACTAAAATTACATTGTCGCTTTAAATGATGACGCTGACAAGGTCTTCTCCGGAATGCTTTATTACCCCAGGCCTTTTACAGTCTTCTTTCCCCTACCCGCTTCTTCCCCAGCCCTTAAGAAGGCAGCATGGGCCAATCAGGGAACTGTGCACGTACAATGCACGTGGTACGGAAGACCGTTGCCTTGCGCCTGATTGATCGCATGCACTGTTCCCGTGTGCACCATGCTCTCCGCCGCCCCACTTCCTAAAAGTTGTTTACTGCTCTGAGTGCTCAGTGAACTTCCGCTGAGCGCCATCTTAGGGTGAGCACTGGAGACCATGGGCGGGGGCGCTCCACATTACATGATGTGCCTAAAATCTCCAGGTAGTTAATAGAAGAAAATGTAGAATATGCTTCTAACCTACAGGCAGAAAAGGACTTTAAAAAAAGGGAGTGGGGGGGTTGGGCGGATAGTGTAGCAGTAAAATGTGACACTCTCTGAGGCTAACCCACATGGCAAGGTTCTGGGTTCATGTCTAGAGACCCTTCTGACTATGCTGGATATGCTTGTGCCCATGATCCAGGGCTGGCCGAGGCTATAGGTAGAATACAGCATCAAGACCTTGTTGGGAGTGCTCTCTTTGTCTCTCTCACTCATGGAATGAAAAAAACAGTGGCCTACTGCAGCGGCATGCTTTACTTTGTGGGTGTTGTGCTTTGTAGGCTAGATCACATGGGAGGGAGGTCCAGTTTCGGAACCTTAAAAAGCTCTGCATTGGCGATGCAGGCCTGTAGTCCCACCTGGGAAGCTGAGGCAGGAGAGGAGGATCACAATAGTGGGACGTCTTTAAAAACAAAACAAAATTAAAAAAAAAAAACACTTCACTAGTAGTAACTATAATTCAAAGAATTGGAATTGATTTTATCAAAGTTAAGGACTTACAGTTGATGAATTGTACTGTGCTAATAAAATTAAGAGGCAGATTAGAGATTGAAAAAATGTATAGTATCAGAATCAGCAAGAGATTGACCTTTAGTGTTCAAGGCATTCATTTAAACCAGTAAGAAGAAAAAAACCAACTCATAAAATGGGCAAAAAGTTATAAGTTTATAGACAAGGAAACACACAAACAAACAAAAAAACACAAGAGATGTTCAGAACTCATTCATTATCAGGGGAATATTAGTGATTGCAATATATCACTTTGTACGTCTTATCAGACTAGCAAAACTGAGGAAGGTGGATAATGTTGTAGTGTGGGGCTAAAGCTACTAGTGGGCAGTCTTTCAGGGATAGTAGTATGAAATTCTTTATAATATAGAAAAATGACCCAGAATGTTCCACTCTGAGGTAGAGCCCTGAAAAATACCCAAACAGTTTTGTTAGGGCTACAGCAGAGATTTTTTTTTTTTTTTTTTTTTTTTTTTTTTTTGTAGCACTGTGCACAGAGCTATAGAGGGGGGCGGGGGGGCAGTTTGGATGTGTGCTGCTGTGAGTAGCCAGGCAAAACGGTGATAGTTGTTCATTAAGAGTGCTGTGGGAGCCACAGTCAGCAGGGATAGGTGGACCTTCAAACATACTGTGTCAAGAAAGGAGTACACTGATGGGGGCCAACAGGTAGCGTGGTGGTTGGGGCGCTGTACTCTCATGTGGCTGACTGCAGTTCAAGTCTTGAACCTGATAGCTTGTTTTCTTGCTTTCTCGCTTTCTCTCTCTCATCAAATTAAAGAAAATAATGATAGTGAATAAAATTGAATAAATAATTTTTTTAAGAGAGAGATTTTTGCTATAGGGCATGTGTGCTCGCCAGAGAGATAGAGACAGAAAGCAAGAAATCACCCCCAAAGGGGATGGCCACACTGCAGTCCCTTCTTCTCCATTCTCCTTTCAGGACTTTGGGCATGCACGCACATGTGTCATGTGAGTTTAAGCCGCCGGGTCCAGGATTCTAACCAGGGTCGAAGATGTGGGAGTCCAGCGACGTAACCATTATGTCCATTATGCTGGATTCGAATAAATAATTCTTTAAAAAAAATTTAAAAAGAGTACACTGAGATGTATGGTTCAGTGCTAGTTTATATACTCAGAATATACATATGCAGAATATACATATGTAATGACTATATATGAATTAAAATAATCAGTACATTAGAATAGTTGTATGGACTGGATAATTCATATCACCAAATCATTTGATTTTTAACTCCCTTTTACTTATAAATTGCCTAGAACCAACTAGAAGCCACCTGAGAAATCAGTTAGGTTTTTTATAAGCAAATCTAGAACAGGACTCAGCTCCTAAGAGTGATAGGTCTTCCCAAAGGGATGTTCTAGCTGCCCTTTAACTGACTATACTGTTAGTGCCATTTCCCACAAAATAAGCAGAAGTCCCAACATCCAGCCAGAGTTGAAAAAAGTACTTTCCACACCAAGAGCTGTCTAAGGGGAAAAATAATCCTTCCATGTTCCCGCTAAGTCCTCTGTTCCCTTACAGTCGGTCTTTACCTGTTCTGGTCATAGCTCTTGGTTCCTTCTTTACTTTTGTGTCATTTGTACTTCTTCACATTGTTGGGGGGCAACTCAAAAATTATCTCGAGTTCAGGCAGTGTGCCCCTCCCCACCCCTTGACCGAGGTTTCCAACCATCAGGCTGACATGGGGATCTGACCTGCTGGCCAGCTGTTTTAATGGGCTCAGCCCTGAAAGCAAGGTGCGTTAACTAAAGACTCATTCCTTCAAACAGGTTCGTTTGACACCGAGTCTGCAGTTTTCTCATGTGCAGTCGTGGGCATTTATTCCCCCACATCCCTCATTTCTAGGAGTGTTCTGAAACTCTTGTACGTTTCTTTTTCTGTTTTGCACACTTGGCTTCAGAGTGTTGAAATCCTACCGGTATGTACGGTAATATGGGGCCGTTCTTTATTTGACATACCAGCTACATCACATCGCCCCCTCTTTCGGTTCCCACCTATATGTGATCCTATCCTCCTGTGATTCCCCACTCACCGTCTGTGGTCCCTGTGATCGTCCACCCTGAGCATGCTCAGCCACAGGGCATGCCCTCCATGGCAGTCATGACTCCAGAGCCATTGCATGTGATCTCACCCTTTGGTATATAGACATTAGTGCCTCCAGTATATAATGTACCTGTCATCCTTTGCACTGCAGTGAGGAAGGAAAACTGTCTACCTCTCAAGATGCTGCTTGTAAAGAAGTGGAGGACAGCTCCGAGGCGACGGTGGAGGCAAAGTGTGCAGTCCCCCGGCCCCCCAGCAACAGTCCAGAGCAGAGGTAACTGTCTACATCCTCAGGTCCTGCCTGGGAGGTCCTTTTCTGGCTTTGCCTGTCATCTCCTGGGACTTGGGAGGGGCGTCAACATCTGGGGAGTGAGGACTTCAGGGACTGTAGACAGTTTGTGCTCAAGCTTTCAGCAAGTGATGTGACCCAGTAGCAGTTTCCAGGTTCTTATGGTAATCAGAGTAAGTAGGCAGAGATTGTAGAAACACCAGAAGCTGAAAACTGACTGGCTTTTAGTCACTAGCATCACTGAGTCCTTGCTGGCTTACCTCTCCTTTTTTGTGAGGCCCTAAGTTGAGAATAATACTGAGCTCCCCTGGGATTGGAGTACTCATTGACCCCTATAAAGGCACTCAGCTGCCAGGCACAAGCAGATCTTGTCTGTTTTCCCATGGTTACACATGTATCAGGCAGAGAGAACTTGCCTGGAGAGCCTTTCATACATGCACTGAAATGTGCAAAAATCTCTCTATGAGAGTGTTGTGATTTGGAATGTGACATATCTTTTTAGTCACCTAAAGGGCTAGGTTTAGCTACTGAAGGTGGGCTCCTGGAGCCAGAATGCTGCACAACTGCAGGTTTAGAACTAGGGTGGCCTCTAATTGCGTTAGAGCTCATGCCAGAAGATAAGATATACTCCTGGACCTCAAGAGATTTTTCTTAGCACTTCCCAGAACTAACTTTTTGAATTAGATATATCTGAGAGTGTATGTTCCTTCCATAGGAATAATAATGGCCTTCAAAGCTGTTTCAGAGAAGTTGTGCTGTCCCCCAGGTCTGACTTGCCCCAGATCTCCTAGGCATTCTGTGGAAACATAACCAGTAGGTACCAGCAGGGGGCACTCTCCATCTATTGGTTGGAAAAAAACGTATTCATAGTATATCTTTGTTACTCAAGGAATTATAGCCAAAATGAAGGGTTTGGTTTTGTGATGTAAAATTTTTTTGCATACAAAACAATTACAAAAAATGATTTGAATGTGTTGACTGTAGTGAAGCCTTTGGGAGGTAACAACAGCACTGGGGGATCTAGCGTGAGGTATACTTTTAAACAGTTGGACAAGTCACTTGGAGTTTGCAATGTATGTTTCTTAAAATGATCCTTTGTAGGTCTAATCCCCAATCAGTTATGTCATCTCCCTAAGTTTTACCTGTAAACTTAGTTCTTTTATATTGACAGTTGCCTAGGTACGCCACAGAGTTAACTTTAGGTCTGTCCTAATTTGTAGTAGTTGTTTCAGGAGCAAGTTCTTGGTTTCTCTGACATAATGGACACAAGAGGCCACAGAATCATTTTCTTGGTTCTCTGGAGTGCAGAATTGTTAACCTAAGGGGTATGAAAAACCCTGTGTTCCCAATCTGCAGAATTGAGATGGTGGAGGACAAAGTTGGAATGAGCCAGTGGAAAATGGAGGGAGGCATCACTTATGTTCATACATTCGTCCATCCATCTTTCCTCCGTCTACCTCACACCTGAGTGTGGCAGCCATGATCTAGGCCTGGTGAGAAAGCAGGAACAAACAGGGATTCAGTACTCTAGGGAGCATCTGGGAGGACGAGTTAATAAAGCTGGATGAGGGAATAGGAGAGACAGGAGTTCATGTTAGATGGGGTCATGAGAAAGGCATCTCTGCGCAGGTGCTGTGGGAGCTGGTATGAGAGCGGTCATAAGGTAAGTGTTCTGAATTTTCAAGTGATCAACTCGTATGGCAATGCTGAAAATTGAATATAACCAATCTAACCCACACGGTTCTTATCATAGCCACATACCACCATGCTCTCTTGGATTGGCAGGCATGCTGTTTCCTATCACACTTAAAGATTTGTTTTGCCACAAGGTCTTTTCACTATTATTTATCACACATTCACTCTGTGCCAGCCAGTGTGCTAAGTACTTTGTGTACAGTTTATACTTAAGTCTGGTGAGGTGAGGATGGGATTATTTTTCACTTTTTACAAGGGAGAAAATGGAACTGAGAGATCAGATTAAGAGATACACTTTTTTTTTTTTGGAGAGTTTTTTTTTCTTTAAAGGGTGGGTGAGCTTGCCAGACAGACAGAAACAGAGAGAAAGAAAGTGAGAAATCACCCCCCAGGGGGGATGGTCACACCACAATCCCTTCTCCTTTCGGGATCTTGGGCACGCACGCACACATGCCTGGCGTGAGTTTCAAGCCACCGGGTCCGGGACACGAACCACGGTCAACTACGTGGGAGTCCAGCGACATAGCCATTACGCTAACTGCTGGTTCCTATACTTTTTTTTTTTTTTTTTAAAGAATTATTTTATTTTTTTTTCACATGAGTTTTGCCAGAGAAAGAGACAAAGAGAAGGAGAGTAAGAAAGCAAACTGCAAAGTCCGGGACTCGAATCATGGTCAGCCATGTGGGAATTCCAACACCTTAAACACCATGCCACCTGCTGGGCCCAAGAAATATATTTAATGGGCCGGCAGGTGGCATGCTGGTTAAGGCGAGGTGCTAGACTCCCATCCAGTGGACCATGGTTAGAGTCCCAGACCTAGTGGCTTGCTTTCTCACTTTCCCTCCCTTTCTGGTCAAATCTTAAAATTTTTATTTATTGGGACCAGCAGTTGGCATAATGGCTATGTTGCTGGACTCCCACATAGTCAACCACAGTTCGAGTCCTGGACCGGGTGGCTTAAACTCATGCTAGGCACGTGTGCATGGTGCCCAAGATCCTGAGAGGAGAATGGAGAAGGGATTGTGGCAATCCCCCCCCCCCCCCGGGGGGAGGTGATTTCTTGTCTTCTGTCTCTTTCTGGTGAGCGCACGTGCCGGTGCCCTAGCAAAAGCCTCTCCCCCCTAAAAAAATTTATTTATATTTAAGAAATGTACTTAAGATCACTCAGGCTATAAGTGGTAGAGGTAGAATATGTATCTAGTTATGTCTGGTTTCAGAACTGTTGGTTCCTGTACACTGATTCATCATCACATGTAAGTAGAATACATTGTATGCTTGGATCTGACTTCCTGGTTCTCTGTTAGAACTAGCAGGTAGGTATCAGGTTTCAAAAGCATTCTGGTTTTAAGGTTTGAATGCTAGTTTTTTAAAAGTATTTCTGTTCTTCCCCAATTACAGCTCTAGGCACCCTTTCCCGTCTCCTTTATAAGATTTTGGTAAAGCTTCTGAGAATATCTTTCATATTTGTTAACTTTGGCAGGAAGACAAAACTTAGAGATTTAGCCACTATTTTATCTGCTGTCCCATCTCTCATTCCATCAGTTTTGAGCCTGATGACATTTGCTTTGCAGGAATGTATTTGAGTGTACACTTTTGGTATAAGCCTTTTCTTTCACTGCCTTTTCTCTCCTTTTCCAATAGCAGAATCCTGTTTTCTAAATGATATTTCATGTGAATTCTCATGTATGGGACATATAAGAGCTTTTGTTGAAGGAAAAGTGAGTAAATAGCTCTAAAGGCTCTGGGTATAGCAGTTTTAAAACCACTGGCCTGTGGCCTGCAGGTGGCATGGTAGTTAAGGCACTGGACTCTCACATGGTTGACCACAGTTCAAGTTCCAGACCCAGTGGCTTGTTTTCTCACTGTCACTGTCCCTCTGTCTCTCTACAGTCGAATTGAAGAAAAATAAACAAATAAAATTAAATAATTAAAAGCAAAACAAAAAAAAACTCTGGCCTAGGGGTTAGGTAGTAACATAGCTGGACCCACATGGGACAGATCCTGGGTGTGCTTCCCCAAGCACACCAGGAGAGGGCATACTTGCCTATAATTTGGGCTGACAGAGACTGAAGGTGCATCACAGCATGAAGTGCCTGTTGGAGACGCCGCTCTCACTCATGGAATAAATAAATAAAACCACTGGCCTGATCTGTGCCTGTGCTCCTGAGGCAGAATGGTGTTACAGAGCCTGCCCTTCTGCAGCCCTTGCTAAATGCCTAGTTAACTGATGGCAAAGCTGAGAAATCCTCAGATTTTTCTGAAGCTTTAGATAAATTCATATTTCAATTAAGTAACTTACTGTTTCAGGTTTTACACTATGCATTGGATAAAACTGTGTTAAAATAGATGTCCACTGCCCTCCGGGAGCTAAACAGGGTTGATTTCCTTCCTCATGTTTCTGTTCCAAGTCCCTCAGATGTCTGTCCCTTCCTTCTCAGGACTGACCAGCCAAGCATGCCAGGCAGCACATCAGTCAATGGCCCTGTATGATGAGCGACATCTGCTGCTACTGACCGAGGACTGCAGGCCGCCACCATTCAGGGGGCTCTGGAGGGGTCATCTGGAGCCTGCCAAGCTGTCACTGCTGCACTCACTCTGCAAGGGATCAGGACCAGCAACCTTTATATTCTAGATTCTAAGACATTGTACAGAGAAATTCAGAAGTGTAAAAATATTGCACATTGACAAATACCAAGAATTTTTGCGTATGTTTATATTGTATTGTTCTAAATAATGGGTAGCCTGTGAAATAAGATCTTGCCACCCATGTAATAATAGTAGTAATACTATAGTTAAAATGGCTGTAAGAATAGTTTTATAAAAGTGAATACACAGATCTATTGTATTTGAAACATAACTATTTGACGATTAGTGTGACCAAAGTATTAGGCAGTTTTCATACATTTTTCACCTTGTACAAAATTCTGAATTCATTTTTCTTCCAGGTTGGCAAGGACTTGTAGAATTGAAATGCCCTCTAAGTGTTATTTTGGTTGTTCTAACTTTCAAAAGTGATTTTGAATACGAAATATTTGGTGTTCTTTTTATAACCAGTTTATGATTGGTAATTGTTTTCTGTATTGTTTAAAATGGATCAAAAATGTAAGTCTATTGGTAGAGATTAAGTATTTATTGCTACAACTTAGTTGATAAATTGATGTTATTGTAAAGCCATATGTTCTGTTAAAGTCTTGTTTGCTTGAAATGATTATTCTTACAGGTGAAACACTAGAATATTTGGAGTGTTTATGGCTTGTGGTTTGGGTTCCTTGGTTTTGTGTTTGTTTTGTTTAGGGGATATTTTTTGTTTGGTTTTTTTTTTTGTTTGTTTGTTTTGGTAGTTTCATCTGCCTTTTAACCCATTCACCAAAATTTACCTTGTTAACAAGCATCACCAATGAACATTTCAGAGCAATCTGCATATTTAACATACCTGAATGATATTAGGCAAGTCAGTGGAAAAATGCTCGTGCTGCTAATGGAATTAGAGTGCGTTCATTTTACAGGCTAGTATTTTTTAAAAGTAGAAATCAAAATCTGGCACCGAAGCATGTTAATTGTTTTACTGTACCTTGTGAGATTTTCACTCGTAAATTCTAAACCAGTGTATTTTTTTTAGAACTGGTTTGTGTATATATATAGTGATTATGGATACTAATTCAATGTAATTTATAATTTTCTATGTCAATATAAAAATACATCACAGCCTTCTCAAACAGCTGAAGCAATATATTGTATATTGCCCTATCATCTGGTGAAAGGGTTAAATTACTTCACCTCTTGCACTTTTAGATGCAAATCAGTTTTTCATTTCTGTAATAGAAAATTATTCACGTATTTTTACATCATTTGTTTTTCCTGACCAGTATTTAAAACCAAAATGATATTCTGAAAATGGCCAACAATTTTTTTAGAAATAGCATCCCAAGCAGCGTGCCTAAACATTACATTGCATATGGAAATAAAAGAATCAAATGTTTAATGCCTTATTTCTTATTACTTTTCCATTCGGGAGGTTGATCATGGCAAACCTAGCACTCCGTGGACAGTGGAGTCAGCAGGGAGCCCTGGGACAGATGGCTCACTTGACCTTTGCACACCTCCTCAGGAACCTTCTTTGTGTTGCTAGCTCCTCTCAGAAGAGACTGTCCTCGTGTGTTCTCCTCCCTAACCTAGCACCGCCAGAGGACAGGGCTCCTTCTGCTTGTCTCAGGGATGCCTGTCTGGTGTGGCACAGGACTTCGGTGATTGCTGGTGGGTAAGGTGCATTTGTCTCACCTGGTGGCAAGCTTTGGCATCTGTGGTCAGGTCGACTCCAGCAATGACCCACACTGCCTCCATGGTTTGTGTTTGATGTTTTCATCTTCTTGTTCAAGGTAGCACACAGTGTCTTACTTCATCCTGTGAGCATTTGGGTTTTTTCTTTGGGGTAGTATTTTGTTTTACTTATCTTAAGGGTCAGGGAAAGGACATGAGGATAAGAAGAACAAAGTCTGCTGGGGCTTGGAGGGTGCCAGCCCAAGAAAGTGAGTACACTCTCATTTAGTTTCTACTTTGATTTCTGTGTATCGGCCATACTGAATTGCAAGACTAACTGATGTCTACAATACAATACTTGTATTTAAAATAACAAAAATAAAGCCTGATTCTTTGTTTCTAGAAACCTTCTCTTGTACCTTGCTTGGGCTTTAATAACCACACAGGCTATGGGGCTATCATAAAAAACACACCATTGGTTCTTGCTTCCTGCCATCAGCTCTCATATGGACTCCCGATCCTACACAGTATCCTATGCTGATGAAGATGAAGAGCCACTAGAATTCACATTGAAGAATTATCCATTTATTTTTATTATTTTAAAATTTCTGGGAACCAGCAGTTAGCATAATGGCTATGTCGCTGGACTCCCACGTAGTCGACCGCGGTTCGTGTCCCAGACCCGGTGGCTTAAAACTCACGCTGGGTGCGTGTGCGTGCGTGCCCAAGATCCCGAGAGGAGAATGGAGGAGAAGGGATTGCGGCGTGACCATCCCCCCTGGGGGGTGATTTCTTGCTTTCTGTCTCTCTGTCTCTCTCTGTCTGTCTGGCAAGCGCACGCGCCCTACAGTGAAAAATCTCTCCCAAAAAAAAAAAAAATTTCCTATAGGGCACATGTGCTCACCAGAGAGCAAGAGAGAAAGCAAGCTGCCAAATCCCGGACCTGAACCACAGATGGCCATGTGGGAGTCCAGCACCTCAACCAACACGCCACTTGCTGGCCCCAAGTTTGTCATTTATTTTTTAAAAATTCAGTGAAAAGGGCTGAACTGGACAGCTTAAATGTGGTATCCACAGGATCAGGGGCTCTTACCCCCTGATGGAACCCAAACACCTAGAATGGGCAGTGCCTGGCACACAGGAGCTCAGTATGCTCTTATTGACGGGGGACCTGCCACCAGCTCCTGTCTTGAACCACTTTCTTTGGTCCTCCAGCTTCTCAATGTGTAGTATTCCTCCAACCTGTATATTTTGGCTCCCAGCCCTACAAATAACACTTAGTGATTAAATACACTTTTTGCATAAAAAAGTGTCCCCAGTGGTGGTTTTCTTCCAGCAGTTTCCTCTGCATGCCTGAACTCTAGGCACCTCAGTGGGAAAGCTCATGCCTAGTTAAGGGCACAGGCTCTGGAACCAGGCAGCATACGCTCACAGCTCACTTAGGACACTCCTAACAGTGTGACCTTGGGCAAGTTAACTTCTCTTCATCTCAGCTGCTTTTTCTGTTGATGGAGAAAACAGCAGCAAACTCATAGACCTCCAAGTAGGCAGTTCTCAACTCAGAGTAAATGTTTAGTGTTAGCTGTTTACTCACTTCTCAAACCCGTCACCCACTAGCCCTTCCACATCCCTACCTAGATCCTGTTTTATTTAAAGCCTTTACCTCCAGAAAAGTAAAGCATCTTTCATCCAGTGAACTTCATTGTTATGCTTCAGGGTCACATACATTTCATGTGACAAATCTGGCATGCCACTACCATATATCATGTACAAAAAATAATCCAAGGTGGCATGGTGGTTAAGGCACTGGACTCCCACATGGTTGACCACAGTTCAAGTCCTGGACCTGGCAGCTTGCTTTTCACTTTCTCTTTTTCACTGGTGAGTGCAAGTGCCCTGTACCAAATTTTAAAATAATGATAAACTAATTTTTTTTAAGTCCAAGATGGGTTATAGATCTAAACATTTGTACTTAAAAGATAACATGTCTAGAAGGAAAAAAAATATTTAAAAGTTGGGGTTAGCAGAGGTTTCTTAGGAAATCGAGTATAAACCATATAAGAAAGAAACTGGACTTTCACCAAAATGCAGTTTTTCTGCTCTTCAAAGTGAATAAGAGTATGGACTTACAGGGGAAAAAAGTCTATGTGAAATCATGTCCAACAACAGCAAAATGGGTAAGCAGATTATGGTGTACTTATACAATGGAATTTTCAAAAATTAAGCAGCAGTATGTATGAATCTCAAAATATGCTAATTACCTCAGTTGAGTCATTTCACATTGACTGTAATATACTAAAATCATTATACCATAAATGTGTACGTTATGTCTCATTTAGAATTTTAAAAGTTTGTCCGGTGAAATAAGACATAAGAGTACCAGTCTGTCTGCATATGAAGCACTAGAACTAGCCATACTACTTCATGGTGGTAGACATCAGAGTTATGTTTTTTCCTAAAGAGGAAGAGGGAAGGATTAGGCAGAAAGGACACAAGGAAACTATCTTCGTGATGGTGGTCACATGAATGTACACAGTTTCAAAACTCACTGAACTCTACACTTAAAACCTACATGTTTTATTGTATGTAATTTATACCTTGATATTTTTGGAAGTTTAGTAAGAGGAGAAAATAAATTATTAAAAATTTTCAGAGAACATATTCTCCATAGTGACCAAGAAATTTCCATTCCTCCCCAGTAGGAGAGGCTAAATGTCTGCTGGATTCGGAACTAGAACCCAAACATGCTTGATTTAGTGTCTCCTGGATTTGCCTTCCCCTGGAGGGGATACATTCTGGTCACCTCTTCCCTGACTTTTATGTCCTTACTGAAGAGGTCTGCATCTGTCTAGTCCAGTGCTGCCTGTAATCAGATGGGTAAATCTGTCCAGTGCCGGGATCAAGTATTAGGGAACTAATTCTAGCCAGGTTCACACCAAACGAGACACTAGTGTTTCAATTCCCTTTGTATGTCAGCTGTGTCTTAATTTCTCAGAAGGTACTTAGAACTAGACTCCTCTGCAGAGCCTCTGCCATGTGCCCTCCCCCTTCAACCTCTGCAAGTCTTCTACGTTTCAGACCCAGAGGGAAGGCCATGTCTTCTGAGAACCCTGGGTCCCTGGGGCTGCAGCAAGCACCCCAGAAACCTTATCTCAGAGGATCTGACTTGTCAGCCTCATCTGTCCCATGAACTGTTACCAATATTTTTTCTCAAAAATAAAATTAAGCATTGAGCTTTTTATTTTCTTTCTCTTTCTTTCTTTTTTTTTTTTTTTTTTTTTAG